CCAGTAGGAGAGAAAAAAAAGGCCAAGGAGTTGAAAATCTCAAGCAAGCTCTGGGCCGCGGAGGAGCTGTGGCCCATCTCTGCTTCTTGGGCTGGGGTTGGCTCCTCCTGAGGGGTCCTGCGGGAGCCGAGCAGAAATGAGCACCGTCAAGTCTGTGATGTTTCATGTTTTAAAAAACCCAAACCCTGTGACTTTTCAGTGACCCAAGTCCCATGATGGCAGCCGCTGGCCCAGGTGGGAAAAGCCCCCAGGCTGCACTGTGCGGTGCCCCTGCAGGCAGTCTTCGTCCTCAGCCACGGACTGTTCTCCACTTGACCTGTCCCAGAGTCTCCCCTCAAGGCTACCAACCACTTCTGGCCACCAGCTTTCTCCTTTACTTTATGAATCGAAGGCCTTAAGTGTACTCGGGTCCTTTGACCCAGTAAAACCACGTTGGGGATGCTGCCAAGGGAAATAATTCAGACCATGGAATGAAGGTTTATATAAAGATGTTCACCACAGTGTGGTTTAAGATGGTGAAAGGTTACTGACAATCAAAAGGACCAGTGCTGGGATAATGTGGTGGGCCTTGGCACTGGTTTCAGATGGCAAGAACCTGATAAAAATCTCTGTGAGTAGGGCCCAGACATCTGCCTTTTTAAGAGCCCCACAGGTGATTCTGATCCACAGCCAGAGTTGAGACTCACTGGGGTCACCTGATGGGAGATGTGCAGCCAATGTTTAAGAAGAGTTTTTAGGGCTTCCCTGGTGGCACAGTGGTTGAGAGTCCGCCTGCCGATGCAGGTGACGTGGGTTCGTGCCCCGGTCCGGGAAGATCCCACATGCCGTGGAGCGGTTGGGCCCGTGAGCCATGGCCGCTGAGCCTGCGCGCCCGGAGCCTGTGCTCCGCAATGGGAGAGGCCACAACAGTGAGAGGCCCGCGTACCGCAAAAAAAAAAAAAAAAAAAAAAGAAGAGTTTTTATATGATATGAAAAAATGCTTACGATACACTAAAAGACAAAACTAAATAACAGGGAACTGGATTTCTTTGCCAGGAATATCTCAACTAACTAAAAGTAAAAAATCAAAACCCCAAACCGAAATGAAACAAAAACAACCCCAATCTTCCAACTTATCCCCCCTCCCCCTTGTATATAGAAGAGATAACTAATAAGGACCTACTGTATAGCACAGGGAATTCTACACAATACTCTGTAATGGCCTATATGGGAAAAGAATCTAAAAAGAGTGGATATATGTATATGTATAACTGAGTCACTTTGCTGTACACCTGAAACTAACACATTATAAATCAACTATACACCAATAAAAATTTTTAAAAAAAGATGAGGAAAACAGGCTCAAAAACAAACAGACAAAACAAAACAAAATAAAAACCCCCCCAAACCCTAGAAGCTTGGTAGAAACAGGTTAACATGTTATCTCAACTCCAGATGGTAGGATTATGGGTATTTTCTCATTTCTAGGCCTGTTGCTTTATTTTATTTTTTAAAAGATTTAATTTAATTTAATTTTTGGCTGCGTTGGGTCTTCATTGCTGCGTGCAGGCTTTCTCTAGTTGTGGCGAGCGGGGGCTACTCTTCGTTGCGGTGCACGGGCTTCTCTTGTGGAGCGCAGGCTCTAGGCGCGTGGGCTTCAGTAGTTGTGGCTTGCGGGCTCTACAGTGCAGGCTCAATAGTTGTTACTGCTCTGTGGCATGTGGGATCTTCCCGGACCAGGGCTTGAACCCGTGTCCCCTGCACTGCAGGTGTATTCTTATCCACTGTGCCACCAGGAAGTCCCTAGTCCTGTTACTTTAAACCTTTTTTTTTTTTTAAAACCAAGAGCAGGGGTTTTTTTGGTTTTTTTTAAATAATCAGAGAAACAACTAAAGACAATGTGGCCCCTATGCCCTCAGCACTGTGCTGCCTGTCACCCCAGCAGGCTCACCGAGTCACCGTTCCCCAGGCACCACCCCCACCATGTGGCCTGACTCTAAAACCCCTGACCCCTTCTTGAGCTCACATGCACTGTGCAGTCATTATTTTAATTAATCTCACAATCTGGCATTGGAAGTGTTGTTATTCCAGTTTTTAGATGAGGAAAATTGGCTATAATTAAATCTATGGTTTAAAAACCATCTAGATAACATGGTGAGGCTTGGTCAGAAACTTTCAGGTCCTCTGGCTTCCCTCTTGGCCTTACAGAAAAAAGCCATTCTAGTACAGATAAATCAGACCAAAGCACGACAAGTCTGCCTTATTTCACTAATTCTAAGACACAAATTTCTTTACATTTTAACATCTCTGAAATCTGGATGTCTTACAATTGACGGCATCCTTCAATTATAATTGGCAGCACCCTTTCTTAATGATACATGCAATAGTGGTACATCTTATGATGGAATGACAGCTAAAATTCAATGAAATGTACCATGTTTACAACCAAACTCATCAGCCTATCCTCAAAATGCTACTTTTAATGGCTATATAATATTCTATCATATGGATATACTTTAATTTACTTAACCAGTTGTTTATCATTATGGACACTTAGTCCATTCCATGTTTTTATTATTATAAATCTGCTACTGGGGACACCTTTACTTCAAGCTTTCCCTTTTTCTACTATGGGCATCATCATTCTCTTCCTGATCCAAATCTTGGGAGATATTTTGACATTTCTTGCCCCTCATCTCCCATATTTTTTCTATTTCTAGACTCATCTAGTCATTTCTTCTCCGTGGTACCTTTTCCTGGTGTAACCACTGGAGGGCTTTCTTCTGAGTTCCCCAGCCGTCCCCCAGTCTCTGCTTCCAGTTTCCTTTTCAGTCCAGCACTGCATTACTGGTCAAACATGACTTCAGTCACACCTCATCTCTGCCCACACTCCTAGCCCACCATCCAAGGCTCTGTCAAATCTGGCTCCAACCTTTCCTGCAGCCCCATCTCCCCACCCAAACCCATGACTCCAGACAAAGGGGCCATGAAGGGTCCTGCCTCCAAGCCTTTGCTCACTCAGATAACCCCATGCCCACCACAGGAAGGGATGCTGCTGTCTTTCTTTTTCCAAGTTTCAGCTTTCCTATGAGAGGTTCTATGGCTCACTAGCTCCTTATAACCATCTGGAAATGCAGAATGATAGGTATGCTTATTCTCATTTCACAGTGAAGAAGCTGAAGTTTAGAGAGATTAAGTGCCGAAGTACAGAGCCAGGCTTTAAACCCCAGGACTTCCATCCTTAAATCCGATGCCTTTGAGAGCCAAGTGCAAGTACAACCATAAACTTCTCTGGAGGAGCAACTTTTGCCCGGATCACATACCCAGCAATACGTACCAGACTCAACAGCCTCTGGATTCTAGACGTATACATGACAACAATGATGTCATTGTAAGAGTGGAAATACTTCATGTCTATCAGTTCCCAGCAGCCTAAGGAAAGGACTGGGCCAGTTGTCCCATTCTCACTTTAAAGATGGGAAGAAGACAGAATTTTCCTTGAATTATACCAGCTCTCAAAACAGCACTGAACCTGACTGGTTTGGATGGGCCCAAGGTCAGGACAAAGAATCAGAGCCATCTGTCTTGGAGACAAGCAGGATGTGAGAAACTTGCTTTAAGCTGAAGGGCTTTTCAGGACCTAAGGGAAGTATTTCTTAGGAAGCAAAGAGAGTGCATCCCTTCTATTATGTGACCATGACATTGCCTGAAGCTGAGGCAGCCTAGCGAGTCAGGCCCAAGTGTTGGATGGAAGACAAGGAACAAGGGGGCATTAGGCTGCTGCTCCCTGAGCAGCCACTGCCCCAGCCACTTCACAGAGCATGCGCCGTGGGTGAAGGGAAAACAAGGTGTTTGCTATCGCTCTGTGCTTCACTTACACACGCAATGGAGTCATAATAGTGAAAAAGTACTTAGCAAGGTATAACTGTGGCTTATGAGGAAGCATGGTCAAGATTCACTGTCAGAGTCTGCACATGAAATGCACTGCCTGATATCTACTCATCTTCTGTCATTTAATCTAATAAAATGCTATGGGTTAAAACAAAAACAAACATCCTGACCTACAGACAGTGTGACCTGGGCTGGTCCCTCACAGCCACTGTGACTAGGCTGGGTGTGGCTGCCATCTCCGCCTGTTCAGGATGAATGGAGCTCCGTGCTCCCTAGAGAAAAGGGCTGTCAGCAAGGTCCCCTCCAATGTCCTCTCCTATGCAGCGACCCAGGTCCCTGGGCCAATTTCTCCATTCTCCTTGGCCAAGAGGCTACGAGGAGGCAGATATCCGATGAAAGCTTCTCACTGAAGCTGGGAGAGCTGGTAGCTTCTTTGGTTTTAGGGATGACCTGGTGTCTTCATATCCACACTATAACTAATCACCTCATGGATGAGGCAACAGAGGCTCAGAAAGGTTGAAGGGCCATGGGGGCAGAAGACATTTTTCTCCGCTCCTCAGTATACTTTGTAGTCAATACATCGAGACCACTCTGGGAACCTCTAAGAAGTGAGCCCCCTGGATGCCTTGCTTTCTCAAGTGTGGAGTAGAGGTCCCCGTGCAGGAAAAGGGCGTTGAGGCACAGTGGGAAAGCATGGGCACTGGGCCGACCTACCTGGCCCCTCCACTGGTCAGCAAGTCATTGCTTCTGTGAGCCTTGGTTTCCCCATTTGTCAAGTGGAGATGATCACTGCTACCTCACAGGCTTACTGGACTCCTCAGTGAGAGCAGGTGTGTGTGCAGGGCTGGGCACCGTGCCCCACAGAGGGCGCTACCGACCAGGGAGGGGAGGGGCCCTCACGTTCACAGGAGCAGAGAGTGCTTCACACAGGGCAGCTCGGCTTCCTTGTGCTAAGAGGTAGCTCGAGGGGAGGCCACTCCCCCAGCCCTCCAATACACACACACACACACACACACACACACACACACACACACACAACCTCTTCTGGTGAATTCAACAACCAGATGAATAGCAGGTTTCCTGTGGCCCTGACCAAACATGGATTCGTGACATGCCAAGAAGCTACTCACCGGCTCTATTTTCAGAGCGTTTCGGTAGCTGCCGAAGAAAGCGGCCTGGGCCTTGAGGAAGGCTCTGGCCACACCATCGCCAGTTGTTGTGGAGACCTTCTTCAGCCGGTTCTTCAGTGAAGAGATCTGGTGACACAAAGGAGAGAGAGGCTGAGGGCAGGGTCGGAGGAGGATGGCTGGCTACACCCAGCACACACAGAGCTCTAGAGAACCCCCAGGATGGGGATGGATTTGACACATCAACTGCTGGGAGAACAAACACACATTCAGTATTGGGTCAGGTTTTTGAAATTTAAATAAATCTTGCTCCTATTAGGGAGTATCTAATAAAAACAAAACCAAAACCACTTTCTAAGCAGTTTCAATGTGCCAGGTTAATTGCTTTCACATAAATTTTCTTACTTAATTCTTTCAACAATCCTGTAGGAAAGGGATTGTGCTCCCATCTTACAAGGGTGAAACAGTCTCAGAGAGGTAATATTACATGCCTAGTAACAAACCCAAGAAGTGACCAAGTTGGAATATTAATTGAAGTCTTATAATCTGAGCCCAAACTACACAAATTTTTTTAGTTCCAATTCCATTTCCTCTTCAGATTACTTACAAATATTAGAAATAAATGGCTTATTTATAAGATTATAATATACCTCATACTCTAAATATGTATTTATTAAATGTACTATAAATTATATATTTATTAAATATATATAAAGTATATATAATATGTATAATATATTATTATAAACCTCATATTCTAAAGGAATAGTCATTATATAGACTTACAGAAACACACTTATATAGCTTACAGATATGCACCCAACAGATTAAAACAAAATAGACAAGAAAGTCATGGCAAAGCAAAAAGGGAAACGTGAGAAGTTGTGAGATTCTTTGGGTCCAAAGCAGTTGCACACATGAACACAAAATTTCCTGAAAGTGAGAATGAAAAGAGATTTTTTCCTATGAGTCCTCAATGTAGGAAAGATTGTGTGACATGACGGTTGTTGCCCTCAACGTCAGAGACTACATTAAGCTTCCTGGTCTGTTTCCAATATGCCATCCATCTCAGGAAGCCATATTGCACAACTTCTGGGCACACCACTCACACTATGTTCCATGTGAAAAGTGTCCCTGGAATTGTGCAACTTGGTAGCCTTGAGTCAATGGTGATACAATGGTGAGCAAAACCAGACAAGGGTCCTCCCCTCATTAAACTTATATTCTCGTGAAGAAAATACCAATACATATGACATTGCTACCATGACAAGCCTGTGACAGAGCTCACCAAGGAGGTCAAGGAAGGCTTCCCGGAGAGAAACAGGCTTAGACTGAGATCTGAAGGATGAGCTGAAGCAATTAACTTGCAAAGAGGGGAAGGAACAGTGTACCAAACACGGGGATCAGCATTTGCAAAGGCACTGTAGTGAGGAGGAGTTCAGAGACTAGGGAGAACTGTGGCTTCAGTGGAGAGAATGGAGAATATGGCTTAAAATGAAGATAGAGGGAAAGGCAGGGGTCAAGAGCTGTGAATACATTAAGAAATTTTTTCCTTCATTTTGAGATAAAGGTAAAGCTAATGACTGTTTTTAAGCATGTAGGTGACATATGAAGAGAACATTTCAGGAATCTGTATGGGGCTTAGATATAGGACTACCTAACGGGCCTGACATTATTTAAGGATAAAATTTAGGGTAAAATTTAAAGATGAAATAGGAAATTAGATGCAGGTGGTCCATGAATCATCTATAAATTTTTAATATGAATGAGTAATGATCATTTTTCTGGGTATAGGCTGTATAGCTATCCTCAGGTTCCTAAAGGTGCCTGTGAACCTAAAAATATTAAGAATCTGGGATGGATTACATATACTCTTTTTTTTTTGCGGTATGCGGGCCTCTCACTGTTGTGGCCTCTCCCGTTGCGGAGCACAGGCTCCGGACGTGCAGGCTCAGTGGCCATGGCTCACGGGCCCAGCCGCTCCACGGCATGTGGGATCTTCCCAGACCGGGGCACGAACCCGTGTCCCCTGCATCGGTAGGCGGACTCTCAACCACCGCGCCACCAGGGAAGCCCGGATTACATATACTCTTGAAATGCTCCATGGACATTATTTCTTATTACCAAGCTTCTGATAAGGGGTTTGTAATAGCTTATTAAGATATATTTTACATATCATAAAATTCATTCATTTAAAATCTATAATTCAGTAGTTTTAGTATAGTGACAATGTTGTAGAACTATCACTATAATCTAATTCCAGAACACTTTCATCACCCCAAAAAGAAAACCCATCTTACTGGCAGGTACTTCTCACTCCCCACTAATCCTGCTCCCCTCCTCCCTCACCCCAGTCCTAGGTAACCACTGATCCACTTTCTGTCTCTATGAATTTGCCTATTCTGGACATTTCTTACAAATGGAATCATACAATAGGTGGTCTTTTTTTTGTGACTGGCTTCTTTCACTTAGCATACTGCTCATTATAAACATGTTTCATCCACATTGTAGCACTTATTAGTACTTCCTTCTTTTCCACAGTTGAATAATATTTCATCCTATGGAAAGACCACATTTTATCTCTTCATCAGCTTCATTATTAATAATATTAATTAATAATAATAATTAACGCTGCTAAAAACATTCATGTATATGCTTTTATGTGGAGACAGCAGAGACTCTGAGGCAAGAAACCAAATGGCAAGAATCCTCTGTTACCAGATCTTTTAAAATGAAAATAATCCGTGTTTACTGAGCGTAGGGGAAGAAACCCTGTGCTGCTGCTCAGGGGCGCGCCACATGCTTGGACAATCTAGTGAGTGAAGGTGCGATGATCTACTTCTTGGCTACGTCAGAAGGGACGGGAACATGCGTTGAGGGGGCAGCCACCCCATCTCCACTCAGACGTGGGCCAATGAAAACAATTTTCCTCTGGAGGCAGCCTGGAGCCCCGCCCCCCGATTCTGGCACACATGCGCCCCAGCACCACAGTGGTGAGAGCTCACGAGAAGCAGCACAGGCCACTCAGCGCCCTGGCAGTCTGTCATGGGCCTCCAACTTGAAATAGCAATGTGAAAAAGAAACATGCTTTATTAAAATGTTACAAATATTGCCCACTTCCCGCCCTCCGAATAATAAAAGTCCTGCCTTTCCCAGGACGAGGGTGACATTTCCATCCTTTGAAACAGTACAAGCCAGTGTCTCTCTTTTGTCTCCTCAAAGCCCTTGGGCCACCTGTGCCGCAGATTATTCCTCACTTAACCTTCCTTGGCCTTTTGCTTTCTTTCGGGAGGTGTTTAATTACCTTGGACTCACAAGGCTGCACTTCAGGTGAGCCTCTCCTAATGGCCTCATTACCATTTTACACAAAGAAGTCGTTGCTGATTGTAACTAAGCAAATAGGAGTGTGTGCCTTCCGGCCTGCCCCAGCTGCTCTGAAACCAGCCAAGTGGTCCTGGGCTCTTGGTGCCCCTGTGACCACTCAGGCCAAGACTTCTGAAGACCTCTCCTCACCCTGCAACAAGGAGAAGCTTTTGTCAGCACTTCAAACTTTGAAACTTCAAGTATATGCACAACTGATAACTGGTGATAGCATACTGTCCTCTAAATAAAAGTGAGGAAGGAAAATCTAAGGCTTAAATAACCCACAGTCATACATCTAAAACCCAACTTGCTCTGAGTGCTCCTGGGGGTGCTGGTCAAGTCATTAACATCAGGGATCATCAGGCATAATTTGAGGGGACAGAAAAGCCAGCAAGGGTGGTTTCCTCCTTTAACGAGGTATCAGGAGGGAGACAGAAAACAAAGGGAAGAGAGTACAAAATTGAACTTGTCAGCATCTTAACTTCCCTCCTCCTCCTCTTTTCCCATCTTGGATACCGCAGCATCATCCAGCCAGTCTCCTAGGCTAGATTCAGATGTTAGATTCCATTCTTCTCCTTCCCTTCCTACAACCATTCTCCACATCTTACCACCCTCCTGCTGATATATCCTGAATCTCTCAGTGCCCATGACCTTGGCCCTGTGCTGCTCAGCTCTACCCATCTTCTCTGACCCAGATCAGTGGAGTAGTTTCCCAGATCAGATGGGCTCTCTGTCTTTAGTTTTCCTTCAATGCCATCTACCCACAGCTGTCCCAGTATTCTTGGAAATATGTGAATCTGATCTCTGTCAAAATCCTTCAGTGCCCCTACCCTTGGCCATCACCACCTGCAGGAAAACATCCCAACTCCTCCGAGTAGTCTGTGACGCTTTCCTCAGCTGGCCTCGCTTCCCTTGGCCCCCCGTAATGGGTACTTGATTGATAATGAATTGCTATCTAGAAGCATATACTACCCTCCAGCCCAAACACATGCTGACAACTCAGATGGAGTTGTCCCTTGTCCCTTTCTGCCCTACTTGTGAACATCTATTTACCCTTTGAAAGACCATCCAAGTGTCCATGAGTAGGGGCCTATTAAGTAAATTATACCACATCCTTGAAATATTGCATAGCTGCTAAAAAAAAAAAAAAAAAAGTGGCAGTACTCTGTGAACTAACATGAAAAGATGTCCACAAACTACACCCAAATGGGGAGAAAACACAAGTTACAGAGCAATATATATAACATGAATCATTTAAAAAAATATACATGTATAAAAATCATTTATATATATACGTAGTAAGAATCTAAAATGCCACGTATCAAACTTTAACCATGTAGGGATGCTTTCACTTTCTATTTTATGCACTTCTGATTGTTTTGATTATGCTTTATAAAAAAACATGTTACTTTTATAATAAAGAATTTAAATGAGGTATTTTTCTTTAATAGTCAAATTAAACATTGCCTTGGGTTAAGGGAAAGAGGGAATCCAAATGACCCCTCCTTTGTGAAGCATTCCCTGACCACTAAGACAGGCTTAATGACGCCCGGCCTGGGCCTCCTTGGACTGCGAGTTGTCAGTGAATTGTAGTGTCTACTACCTTTCCTGCTAGACTGTGAGTTCCTAGAAGGGCCAGCAGTGGTCCAGCAGTACTTGGCCCAGTGTCATCATTCAGCACTTTTTGCTAAATAAAAGAACAGATGAGTGAGTGTTCTGACATCTTAAAAGGCACTTCCAATGGCCGAGCCTCCGTGCTTGGAGGA